TCTTCTTCTTCTTCTTCTTCTTCTTCTTCTTCTTCTTCTTCTTCTTCTTCTTCTTCTTCTTCTTCTTCTTCTTCTTCTTCTTCTTCTTCTCCACACACGTGTCTCTTCACAGGCCTGAGCACTGGTCTGTCTCTCTCAGCTTAATAAAACTCTTGTTTGTGGATTCTGTCGTGTCTCGTGACATTTCCTCACAGGGTAAGAGCGCCGCTAAATAACTAACAATCACCTCACAGGCCCTTACCCGAGAGCAGCTGGTTTGAAACACCTGAGGGAATCCCTTTCCTACTTGCCCTAGGCTTGAGAAGTTATATTATAATATCTACAGCTGAAAATATTCACCTGTAACATTTGCCTAGTCTTGATTTTAGCCCCAGTGGACATCAGATCCCATGGTCAAAAGTGAAGAAAGCCCTGTGTGTGGTGGTGGTGGTGGTGGTGGTGGCAGCTTGGATAACTCCAGTCCAGGCCTGGACTTTGTGTTTAAAGCTGACCATGTTCAGTGACATGAAAGGGCCAGGGTTGCGTTACTGCAGTCCTTGATCATGCCCACAGGACATGACCTGGGATGGAAAACGTCCAGGTTTCTGAGGCTGGACGGTGCTGGGCTGCAGATCCACACCCTGTGCTGTCTCAGACTCCCCTGGAGGGAACCTGGCAGGGACACCGGCTCAGCTGTAGAGGGGCGCGCTGGGGACAGGGAAATAGACTGTTAGGGAGACTGCAGTGAGGTTGAAGTGCCATCTGAGGGGATTCCAACGAGACCCTGGTTTGTGGGGCGGAGGTCTTGGCCACCTCAGCCTTCCAGCTGCCTACACACAGTGGGCAGAGACTTCTTGAGGAAGCCCGAGCTTCAGCTCAGTGCTGTCCTTTTATACGCCAGGCAAGGCACCATGGGAAGGACCTCTGGTTCAACCTTTTACAGAAAACATGGGTTGTGATTTTCATCTCCTCTTAACTCTCCAAGCACTAGGAAAAGAGAGAGCGCATGCCTCCAGGGGCCTCCCTCCCCTGACGCTTTCACTCAGAAGCAGCCATGGCACATGCACAGTTATACCAGGCAGCATGTTGAACCTCAGAGTAAGGCAGACCATGCCATCTGGCACCTGGACTTCTCATCAGATGCTTTGTTTGAACGTTTTTCCTGATCCCGTTTGCATTGCAGTCAGTCCTGCAGAGCGGAATGTGAGTGGGGGAACATTCTTCTTAGAGGGAAAAATCCCATGACCTGGTCCACAGCTGAACTGGAGGCCAAAGTACACAGGGCTCTGGGTGGCTGTGCTGACACAGCGGGAGAGCCCGCTCTGGGACACATTAGAAGTCACAGCATGTACCCTGGAGAAGCCCTCGATGGCCAGATAAGTGACTACTTTAGATTCCTTAGGTAGAGGAGACATTGACCGACGTGACACTGGGTGGCTGTGGTGGTCTGATGGGCCTGAGCAGGACATGAAAAAAGCTAGGCCCATAGAGGGTGGGGGCATCCCTCAGCAGATGCCAAACTGCTGGAGTATGGGGGCAGCCACCTGCTATTTCCTTGGCATTTTCAGAAACAGAGAGGTCAGGTAAGGAGAAGGGTGCTTTAAGCTCTCTAACAAAGCGGACCTTGTTCTTTTTATTCCCTGTGGAATTTCCACTGCCCAGAACAGCGTGTGCCTCGTGGAAGATGCCCAAATATCTGTTGATGGGGGGCAGGCTGTAAACCCTATTTCCAAGAAGAAAGCAGCTTAAAAAGAAGGGCGAGTTACTATCTGGGTAGTGGTTGGTCCAGCAGCCTACCCTGGGAATGCCTTTCCTCTAAGCTCAGTCACCTGGTTCTCCTGAGCCTCCACTGTTCAGTCGGCCGCTCTGTGCGAGCTGTGCTCCAGATGGGAAAATGAATCACAGCTTCCGCTCCAGCTGAATTCCTCTCCGCTGCACTGCACACCGTTCTGGCTTTTACTTCAGGTTCAGACACATTTAGTTTCCCATAGGTTATAGCTGAAGATGATAATGTACATCTTGTCAGTCAGAAACCTGGGTTCAAATCTTGCTCTGCCACTTCTCAAAACTACAACTTTAGGCAGGTCATTTTTAGGCTCTGGCCCCCGGGGGGGTTTAATCTGTAAAGTGGAGATATTAATAGCATCACTTGGTATGTTTAGGGGGAAATGAATGTTGCACATAGTTTCAGATCTCATTGGTTGTGGGCATGGCTTTTCTACAGAAGCACCTAGAACATAGGAGGCCTCAGGAGATTTTGATTTTATTGATGGCCTTTTTCTTCTGTGACTGGAGTGTTCCCCATTCCAAGGCCTAACTTCCCACAGTTCCCTAAGGCGCACTCAGGTCAGCTGTGTTTTAGAACGGTGCGTCCTGGAATACTTCCCTCTCAGAGGCATCTCTTCCTGCTTCCATGAGGCTTGTTTGCTTATCTGCCTTGTGTGATTTCCAGCTTCAGTGTCTGTTTCCCCCTAGACTGACAGCCCCTTGAAGCCAGGAAAGTGTTTTATTTTCCTTCTAGGACACACATTTTTTTTTTATTATTATCAGAAGTTCAAATATTTGCCAGATAAGTGATTATAAGGCAATGGTGCATCCCTTAAACAGAGATATGTTGTGGACACAGATATGGTCTCAATCAAGTTTAGAGGAAGAGGGAAGATGTACTAAACTTGTGAAGTATGTACAGAAACAGACAATTTGATGAGCAGAAAAGAAAGTCTACCTTATGCCATCCAATACAGTCCAAATGCTTGTAGTCACTTCAAATTTATATGCCAAAGACCTAAGCCCGAAGGTAACCTTTCACCTATGTGTGAAACAGAAGAGGTGCCGGAGGGCGAACTCCCCTTTCCACCATGTCAGAACAGAGTCAGGAATCAGACCCTCAGCTCATGGATTCTGCTGGTGCCTTAATGCTGGCCTCCTTACAGACCTGCAATAACAAACTTCTGTCAATCATAAGCGACCTAGTTTATGATTTTTTTAAGCAGACTAAGACAACATTGCTATATTATCTACAACTTACCTTAAAGAAATGCTATTTAAATGTCAAGACATGCATTGAAATCTGTTTTACTCTAAATATAGCTAAATATTGGAAGTTGCCTAATCTTCATAGAGATGCTTTATCCATTCATATTCCATAGTTTAATATTACCGTTTCAGTTATCATTATTTGCTAATTTACTAGGAAAACCAGAAGTTTTCTTCATTAGCATCCTGGGATATAAAAGTTTGGTTTACGTTGACAGAATGAGTCCTGTCTGTTGGAATTGTCACGTGACTGTTTAGGCAGCCTGCATCTGTGTGAGCAGGGCATGAAGAACGCATCACTGGAATGACTCTGAGATCTCTCAATGGAGGCTGTTTATCTGCCTGGGGAGATTTCTGTCATCTGATGACTCATCTGGCTCTTGCTGGTAGCTCCTTGTCACATCTTCTTTAGTTATAGGCCAGAAAGGTGGGACAAAGTAGGTGATCTCAGGTTTTGGTTCCTGCTAGCTGTGAAGGACCTCAGTACCTCAGAATTGGCCCTGACACTCGCACTTTCAGTGTGATGGGATTAGAGAGGGGACTATGCACCTTACTTTTAACAGTTGAAGGCTGCCAGAAGGCTGGGAACCCAATTCTGTAATAGAGAATGACCACTGCTGTAAGCCAATTGGAAAGTGAAGCGTTACAGTGATTACAAAAAGCAAGAATGTATTGGAGAGACCCAGCAGAGATCAGAATCAGGAAGATTTGGTGGCTAATTAAATATGGTACCCAGCTAAAGGGTAGACTACAAAAATGCCGACATGGGAGTTGAGTGTTATATTGTTCACCTACAATGCCAGTACTCAGGAGCTTGGGAAAGAAGAACCATAAATTCTCAGTCAACACAACTGCATAGGAAGACCATGTATCAAAAATGAACAAGGAAAGAGGGAGGCAAAAAGCAAGCAAGCAATATTCATGTCAAGAGAAACAAGTTCACGGAATATGCTCATAGAGCTTGTCTGGTCATCTTGAGCTCAGAGGGGTGGACGGGACAGTTGCTAGGACAGACAGCAGCAAAAGCTGTCCTCACTGTGTGCCTAACTTTACTAGTCCGTAAGCCATGCTGTTATCCTTCCAATTCAGGGTTTCTGGCCCCAAGTTAGTCTCTTTGCCTTTTACCTCCTGCACTGAAATATGCAAAGTCTGGGTGGGAAGAAACAGAGATGGTAAGAAAGGAAGGGCGGTTGACGTGGACGGAGGGAGGAGTGAGGCGGGAAGCAGGCTGCTGCAGACGGAGGAAGGAGAGGCCCGTGAAAGAGGCGGCCTTCGGCTGCTCTGGGCACTGACGGGGACTCCTCACAGAAAGGGCCTGACTTCTTCGTCACTGACATCTTCACCTCCTCTCTAAATGTGAAGACGGTTCTGCCTGGGAATCCAGAGTCCCTTTAAATCACTGTCTAGAACCCAGACATTCTTGGGCACTCTTTCCTGTAAGGGATCCCCTTCCTTACTCCCAGTCTTCCCTGACTCAGACACAGAAAAGGGGCACATGCCTTCAAACTTAGCTTAAGCAAAGGGCCTTCCCCACGCCAGGGGAAAGGAGGAGAGCAGAGCACCGTAGTATCTGTCATGGCTAGACCTTGGTGGCTGCTCAGAATGTGTGGGAGAGAGAGGACCCTTTATGGTCATTCAGAGCTGCTTATTGGGCATAGCCTTCCATCTCAGCATCTGCTGTCACTTCGATAAATAAGCCACTAAGTAAGATGGATGGGACAGCCTGTGCTCTCTATTGGTAAGGAATGAAAGCTGACACAAAACACTGGCTTGGGCTTCTCCTGTGTGATGGCTTCTGCTCTGACCAGTCATTTCCAATACTTGCAGGAGCCTTTTACGAATGTAGATTCCTGGGCCTGGCTTCTCCTGGGTCTGACTTTGCAAATATATAAAAGAGAGACTGAGTGTATGGTTAGGAAAACTTTGTTCCTTTGTTCGAGGGTAGGCTACAGGCTGGAATGAAGACAGAATCTTCCCTGTGCAGCAGCCAATGTCCAATGCCCTTAGCCAATGTGCACGGGTCTCATTTGGTTGGAGATATTCATCGGATGAGTAATAAATTGCCTTTAGGCCTAGGCCAACTCAGCTCTCCACGAGTGCATTCCCAATGTTTCCATTTGGCTTCAGACTTCAGCTTTTAAATTGGCCCTGACAGATTTAGAAGGTGCCCTGGAGGCATTCCTGTGCCTGCTGAACAACTTCACTTGGCACGGGGTTCTGGGCAGGATAGATGATGGGCAAGAGTAGGGTCCACTTGATGAAACTACTCACAGAGAGAGTAGGTGAGTAATGTCTAACGGGCTGAGAAATACAGACAGAATATGATTTGAAATCTTATCTGATTTGTAGGAGAGGCCATAGTATAAAACCCAGGAAAAAAGTGGGGACAGTACAAAACTGCAGATATTTCTGTCTTAATTTTTCCTCTTAAAAGCATAACTGTCCTAAATATCCCAACAGATATTAACTTTCCTGGGTGGGCCATACACATCTTGTTTTATACCTGAGTGAGAATGAGCATTGAAAACCTCTCCTGAAATTGAGCACAAAGAGAGAACGGTGGTTGCAGCCCAGCATGCCACACTCAGGCTTTTCAGCAGTACCACTTGGGTATGGGGAGACAGACACACACACAGCAGGCTGAGAACGGAAGGACCTGGGCTTCCATGCTTGCTAGGAGAAGTTTCACATGGACACCTTGAACAGGAGGGACACAGGCACATCTCTTATTTCTTGAAGTCTCTACCTTTGAGGTATCTCTCAGTAACACGTGTTATATAAAACAAGGAGATACCTCAGCAATAAGCTGGATGCTCATATGAATTATGCAGGGGATAACCTTGCCATACATGACTGTAAAGGTTTTCTTATTAAGGCAAAGCATATGAAATATACATATTATTATAACTCTTTCAGATTTTATAACTCTTTCAAAATGTGTATCCCAGTGAGTGACATTTAGTCCATTCACATCATCACAAAACCATCCCCACAATCCTCTTTCCAGTCCAGTGAGGTGGTTCAGTGGATAAAGGCACTTGCTTTGCAAACCTGACATCCTGAATTCAATTCCCAGAATCCTCAGTCAAAGGATAGAACCAACTCCCCAAAGTTGTCCTCTGACTTCCACTGCACTCTGTGGCAAATGCATCATCTTGTACACAACATACACAACACAACACAACACACATACACACAAATATAACAACAACAACAACTCTTCGATCAGAAGTGATAGAGGAAAAATGAAAATAAATGTCAGAGGAGACTGGTCTCTATAGAAGCATGTTATCCTTTATTAAACAATAAAGGCCTGGAGTCTCTCTTCAGGGAAGGAGACTGTGTGCCCAGGCTGTGGGCTTGAGGGGTTTATAGGAAGGAAAAGGGAACTTCGAGGATGGAAGACTTTCATGTTCACACCAGTTTCTTGCAGTATCAGGGTCACAAAGTGCCAGGCCAATGTTCTTATAGCCTCAGGTGCACTGAGAAACTCCAAACAGGAAAACTAACACAGAAATAACGTCTTAATCAATGCTGAAGGTGTTATTTCTGTGTTAGCTTTCCTGTTTGGAGTTTCTCAGTGCACCTGAGGCTTTTAGTTATTAACCCTTCAATAGCAATAACAATAATGATTATCATAAACATATAAGATACAAAATGATTATTATAATCCTAATTTCTCAGCCTGTGGGAACATAGTTGGTCTACAGTCTGTTCTCTGAATGACTCTAGACATTTGCAGCATGAATCTTTGAGGAGCGAATCACTGTGTATACCTGGAATGCCTCTTTCCTTAGTGACCATCAATTATGTCTTTGCAGTGTTTTGGCTAGCTGTGTTTCCAAGATCCCTCACTGCAGAACATCTTCCTTTGTAATTGTTCTCAGCCAGAAAACTTCTACATCATCGATAAGCAAGGAACGGAAGGAACTAGTTTACTCCGTAAGAGCTTCAGGATGCAGAAAATGAGAAAGTATGTGCAGGTGCAGTGTGGGGTGATGGCCCCAAGTCATTCAATTCTGCTTTCACCCAAGAATAACCCAACACCAAGACACAGCAGCAGTATGAAGAGGGAATTGGCCATTTCCATGCACTGAGCCCTCTCACTGAGATCTGAAGCCACGCCCTTCCTGGTTCTGACTTTTCACTGGCCCATCATCTCCCAGCGTTGTCTGTGGATACTGAAGACTAGGACCCACAGGCCAGCTTTGAGAGGAGAGTTAGATCAGCTCTCTCCCAATGACCTGGCAGGTGGCCAGTGGGCCCATTCATCTAAAGAGCCCTGGACCGTCCCTGGGCAGCTGCAGTTGTTTAACCACACACAGAACATGCTCATGATCCAGCGGGTTCTAAGACCACAACAAACAGCAAAGCAGATCACTCCAGCTCTGCTGGAGTTGACTCCCTGGCCAGCCCTCTGATTCTTGGGAAGACAGGTTCAAGGTAGCTAATAAGTAACTTGATCGTAATCTTTATTTTTTTTAAAGCAACATGAACCTAACAGGCAGCTTAATTGCATTGCATAAGTGAACCATGTAATCACAAATTGGACCCTTTACAGCTGTCACCTGTCACCACGAGAAAAATGCTTGGAGTGGGGACCCTTCCTTTTGCTTAGGTTATGCTGATTCGAAGAGGCTTTTGAATCAAGGGAGGTGAGGAGAGCAGGCATTTATCTTTTAATGCAGAAACCTTGAAGATCTAGCCTTGCCTGAGGCAACCAGCAAACCTCCCCCTCCTGTAGCCCTGTGTTAGCTTGCCAGTGAGCCCCTAAGTCCCAGAGACTGACTATTGATCAGCATGCTCGTTTAATTACCCAGCAGAGTGGGTTCTCCACCAATCAATTTCTCTTCTAAAATGCCAGCATCCTGCTCCAGAGGGAGGAGGGCCTCAATTGATCTTTGTTTGCTTTTTATTCCTGTTCTGAGCAGAGTACATTCACACACAGGTTAATTTTTAAATGTACTCTGCTCTTACTGCCCGGCCTCCTTACTTCACCCCGGACACCTAGTGACTCGAGAGATCCTTTCCCCTCTTCTTTTTGCTTACTTAGCTTTGGTAAATTGCTTCACAAATACCTGGCCTGCTCATTTCCCAGATTTCTTCTAGTCGACAGCAGTCCAGAGTTCTTGAGTCTGAAGTCTTTGGGGGCAGAGGAATTGCTGACCCCTTCCATGCTCACCTCCAGGAGAGAAGGAAGGGGCCACTTTCACTTAGAGGTCCCTGGCTTGCCCCTGGAACCTTCTATAGGATCAGGGAAACGTGTCAGCTCAGGCCTTCCTTCATTTTAAGGCTTGGTTGTGAAGCCGGAGCATGTACTGCATGCAGGTCAGAGCTCTGTAGATACAGAAGAACTGCAAGATCAGGGCACTGCATTTTTCTGCAGTGAACTGAATTTTGACATGACATTTCTAGGCCTTTAGGTAAAATTTCACCCTTTGCATCTAATGCTAATTTTTACCTAATTTAGGCTCAAAATGAAGTCACATCAGGGCTGGTAACACAGCAGTCAGCCTCTGCTCCGAGAGTCACCTCTGTTGCCAACACTGCCCTTCCCATCCTTCGACTGGTGAGGTAGACACACACGTACCTTGACCCACCTCTGAGGCTGCAGAAGCCCAGACTGGTTCGATGCTAGTTCTTGGCCATGGGCAAATGCACCACTTTCCGTTGTTCCTTGCTTGGGTCTAGCCTGCAGTTTAAGATTAGCTAGAAAAACATTTAAGGGGTCCTGTTGAGACTCATTCCTGCACCTAAGAAGCCTTCCTATATTTGGCTAATATGTGTTTTCTTTTGCCTGGTAGAGTGCAAGATGTCTTTAAACTCAGGAAAGCATCCCAGAGGGACAACTGCACTCCATTCTTTCCCAGGATATTAATGCCTTGGGACTTAGCCACTTTCAGCTTCTAAACAGCACGACTCCAGCAGGGAAGCAAGTAGCCGACCTTTGGGTCTGTGATCTTGTATTTTTCTACTGGGATATTTAATATGATCGCTAAAAATAAACAGACTAATGGAGACTTTTTCTTTTTTAAATAAGGCCACTCATAAATATCAGAAAACTACCAGGAACTAAAAGCTCCTAGTCTTTCAGTATCTGACAGAGGAAACCGCAAGCTGGCTTACCACTAACCTA